ACACATTTTCCCCAAACTGTATGGTTAAAACAAACTATGGTGGTGATTGAAGAATACGTAAGGACATTTACATTGATGATGATAATTATTTAATCAGAAGTGGATAGTTTTATCTTAAATTTTAGTGTTATGTAAATAATTCAAAAATATTTAACCTACTGATGCATCAATTAATGTAATTTTATTGGTATCTATTTTTATTTTGAAATTTACCAGTAGCTGCTACATTACCCAGCCTCAGCTTATACTCAGGTCAATAAGTTTTCCCAGTTTTTTGTGGTAAAATTAGGTACCTCGGCTTATATTCAGGTCAGTTTATACTCAAGTATTGCTTCTCTTGGCATGATACAATTGAAGGAGAGTGGTGACTATTAAAATCCAATATTTTGTCTGTGTTTCTAGTTTACATAATTCTTGGTAATTAAATACATGTTTTAAATTATTCCTTAAGTACAAGAATACCACTTGTAGTATCTGAAAAATGTTTAAGATTTAATCCCAGCATCTCCAAGTCAAGGATGTTGGTGACAAAGCTTGGTATGATTGTTTCTTGAAACCGTAGGACTCTACACTAGTCAAAATAGTACTGGGCTGCGTGGACTGATAGTTTTTATATCCTTCATTTGGAAATGTTCACAAGCTTCGTCACCCAAATTCTAGTTTAAAGCTGAGTGTGATACTCTTACACAATTTATGGACTCATAATAGAGTTACTTCCCCTTCAAATGTGTCCTTCCCACATTTATTACATGTATAAAGGAGGAGAAATGGCCTTCTCCTTCACCACTAACATTCACACACCAGCATGGAAAATATGGTAGCTACAAGGGTTGTTCTTGTGTGCCTTCAAGTTGGTTCTGACTTATGACAACCGTAAGGCAAATCTATCAGTGTTTTTTCAGCAAGGCTTTGTCCTTCCCCTGAGGGTACGTGAACTTAACTTGCCCATGGCTATCCAGTGGGTTTCTATGTCTTGAGTGGAGATTCAAATTCTGGTCTTGTGGTATCTTAGAAGGACACTTACTTAAATACAGCTGCTTATACTCCTTCATCATGTTAAGGAGCCTCACCAAATACAGACAACTTCTCTTTCAAACTTCGGCTAAGTCCAAGAGGGTTCAAGCCAAAACAGTGAAACCAGCTGGATAGAGAGATGCTGGGTAAAATAGGATGCATGGGCCACTTTCTTACCACACATTCACCTTTCAGGACAAGGATTTGATATTCTCTTGTAACACTGTAACCTAGTCATATCAAAATTTGGACTTTGCTAAGTTGCCATCAAAAATTATTTATCAATTGTATTTTTTCATAGAAGAAAAAGGGGAAATACGTTTGTTTGCATAGACCCATATTTCTTAAACAAATATGAATCACACTTTCAACAGGCAATGATTGCTTTCTGATCAACTAGAAACTAGAAACAGTTATAAGTATTTCTTGAGAATGAAGAATGATGTTTATTTTAAAAGATGTTTATAGGTAAAATGGCAGTGGGTCCTACTTTCCAGAAAGTCATCTGCAATAAGATAGGAGAGCGGGATTTTGACATTCTCAGCCGCAGCACATGGAAAATAGACACTGCAGAAACAGATGTCCCTTGGTTTTAATTTTTCCCACTACAGGGAAATGTTTTGTATTGTTTAAATTAATAGAAATTGGCTGTATATATGTGGCAGCTATAAATTAGTGCATGGTAATATTTATCCAGAAGTCTGACTTCTTTCTTTAGTGATAGATGTCCTCATTTTGGCAATGCATAAATGCTCCCTCCCCTGTCAAAAGAGTATCAAACAAGCTAAAAATGCACATTCTATGGGTTTGTGTGTGTGTGCGTATGTGTACGCACACCTTCAAATCACCAGTCAACTTACAGGAATCACATAAATTTCATAGTGTTTTGTCAGAGGTGGTTTTCCCAGTTCCTCTGAAACATACCTGACAGCACCTGATACTCCTTGGTGGTCTTGTATCCAAGTTTACCCAGAGCTCACCCTGCTTAACTTCCAAGATCAGATAGGATCTGATGTCTTTAGGGTATTTAGGCTACAGACTACATATTAACTGAGCTGAAATCTCTTGATCTAGAACTATAATGAAATGCAGAATGAGCAAAATGCTCCTCCACAGCTTTTGAAAGCTAAAGAGTAAAACTAATTTATTTAGCTGTCAGTTGCTTTTATTAGAGGGAGATAATGATATCACTTCTGAGAACTCACCTCATTTTGGGTGTGTGAGTGTCAGAGTCAGAGGAAAGGAAGCCTTCTTAGACATGTTTTACTGAACAATTTGTTTAAATCTTTGTGGCAGGCTTCATCTCCTATGTGACTTCATCTCCTCTTGAGGCTTGAAACAGATTATTTTGTAGGTGGCTGTTGAAGACAGCAATAATAATAATAATAATAATAATAATAATAATACAACAACTTTATTTTTATACCCCGCCTCCATCTCCCCGAAGGGACACGGGGCGGCTTACATGTGGCCAAGCCCAATAACTGCTACCTACCTAATGTTGTTGTGTACCTACCTAATGTTGTTGTCAAGTAATTTCTGATTTATGGAGATGCTAAGGTAAATCACAGAGTGTTCTGGGGTTAAGAATGTGTGACACACTTTGGATTACCCCTTGGGTTTCCATGAATCCTGGTCTCCAGAGTCTTAAGGCCCTTCCACACAGCCATATAACCCAAAATATCAAGGCAGATAATCCATAATATCTGCCTTGAACTGAATTATCTGAGTCCACACTTCCATATAATCCAGTTCAATGTGAATTTTATACAGCTGGGTAGAAGGGCCTTAAGACTCTAGAGACCAGGGTTCATGGAAACCCAAGGGGTAATCCTCATATCACTACACCATTCTAGTACTGTCTTTCTTAAGGACTTAGATAATCTTCAGATCTTTCCAGTGGTTCTTCTACGTGACATGATAGGCAAAGCAATTTAGTATTCTGGCCAATGTGCACTTTACATTCCTATAACAAACTTGATTGAACAGATCTTGGTTTCACATCTCTGAAAATTCTCCTAATTTTTTGGCCTGTGTTTCTCCTCCCTGTTTGAAATCATTCTCATTCATGCCCATTTTTCTTACTCAGAAGACTTGCTAAATAGGAAAGTCAGTGTTTATTCTGTTAATTGCAATCCTTGTCATGAGTGCCCTTGGAGCATTTCAAGGCAGCTCTTCAGCTGCTACTAAAAATAACATGGGGAAACTGTTCAAATAAGCCTAAATAGAAATTACAGTATACTGTCGCTGTGTATTCTTGAGCTCCTAACATAAGTTCTACTGTTTAGTCTTCTTAACAGACCTTTCAATCCCTTCTATATATTTTTCTGGCATTCATTCTTATTGTTGAACATGTTTTTTCCTTGTAGGAATTGTGTTATTTGTTAGGTTCTGTCATCTTTAAAATTACCCCAATGCTCTGGTATCTCCTCCTTGCTTCTCTGTGATCCCTTATAGCTTCATTTATGTTGGTATTCCTCATTTCAAATTCAATATTAGAGAAAATAATAGTGATTGCTTCCTGTTTGTGTAAGAAACCTCAAAATTCTGGTTTGATTAGCTGAATAAAGGTCCATTGCATGCCATGACAGGTCTTATACACATTGTTAGATATGTTCTCAGACCAGAATAAGAGAGTTGCATATGTATTATTTAGAACTTTAAGTACAGTATAGTAATTTATATATTACATTAATATAGAAACAAGCCCGAGTCAACCTTGATCAGGCAAAGGTTCCCTTTTTTTACTTTTATGAGCCACAAAAACATCACAGAGCCACACTTTACCCATGCCTCTGTGATGTACATATATCCAGCATATAGTATCTATAACTGATTAAACCAACCATAGCTCAAAAAATACTTGGAAAAAATATCTAAAAAGCATATACAGTGTTCCCTCACTTATCGTGGGGATTCCGTTCCAGGACCACCCATAATAAGTGAAAATCTGCGAAGTAGGGATGCCATATTAATTTTAATATTTATATATAATTTTATATTTTTATAATTTTCTTACCCATGCTTCCTTACTTGCCTCCTGGCCCATCCCAAGGGCGCCTTCCTGCCTCCCTGACCTCCACTGGACATAAATATTTAATATTTTATTTTTTATTAATATTTTCAAAAATCTGCAAAACAGTGAGTCCTCTAAAACTGAACCGTGAAATTTCAAGGGAACACTATACTACAAAAAAAGTGCATCTTCCAGCACCATGGTAATTTTTTTATGAACCACATGATCACATGCCACCTTTCCTCAATTGTAAATATAATTTGATGCATACATTTAATGAAGGATGCTGTGCTCTCCGAAAGTGATATTGCCTTTAATGTGCCACAAAATATTGTCTTGTGTCTATCCATCTGAAATACAGCATTGAGTTGACTCTCAGTTTTATACCAAGAAAGATATGGAATGCTCAAGATGCAGAATATGGGTAGTCATTAATAAAGTTGGAAGTTCAGTTTGCAGAGAATTTGGTTATCAACCAAGTGACAACAAAGTGATAACCAGTGTGGCATTTCACCTTTTTCTAGGTTCAAATACCAGTTTATTCAAGACGCTGAAACCTGTCGACTGATGAATTCAGACACCGAGAGGTGGCTTTGTTGGGACCTGAGCTATAAAGAAAAACCTCTGGCTTCCATGCTATCTCTCTAGCCCTGTAGCAAGCCTAGCTTGCTCTCTAGCTTTCTTGGGGAGCAGGCAGACTCTTCCCCACTTTTCCCCATGCTTTTCCAGTCTGTGTTATGGCATTCCTCTTGAATTTTACAGCAGAATAGTGTTGCCTAGTAGTGCGCTTTGGTTTGGGCTTTTCTGTGCACGTTGCTGGCTAGACTGGTGTATTCAGCATCTATGCTTGTTAAGCTTTTCTGAATATTGTTACTGATTTGCTGTTTCTCTGTATTCACTGAATCTTTGCTGCTTTTTCTCTTCCATCTCTTTCCTCTCCCTTCATCCTTCCTTGCCTCTGCTGTCGCAGGTTCGGCATGCCTAGTGGGCTATAAAAAGACACCACCACCAGTCCCACCTCGGACCACCTCAAAGCCGTTCATCTCTGTCACAGTGCAGAGCAGCACCGAATCGGCACAGGACAACTACCTGGACAACCAAGACCATAAGAGTGAGGTCAACAGCCAGTCAGGTCTGAGCAATTCTTCAGATAGCTTAGACAGTACAAGACCTCCAAGTGTGACAAGGGGAAGCGTGTTGACTCCAGCCAGAGAGCCTCCTGAATTACCCGTGAAAAATGCAACGCTGAAGAGTGACAAAGGGACATTGACTAACGAAGAGCCAAAGGAGGAGAATATCCCTAAACGGAAGCTGTCATCTATAGGAATACAAGTATGGAATAGTTTGTTCTCATTAGCACTTGTTCTCAATGTCAGTGTGTTTATATTTGCATACTTATTTAACTGCTCTGGCATCCATGCCCACTGATTTTTTAAAAACCCGGAGCACCCAAGGATTAAAATTGGTAGGGTTTATGGCCATTAGACAAAGATTTTATAGAGCTGTACTTAACCTGTTTATCTATTTAGCAAGCTACTCTACTCAGATATTACCTTGAGTTTGGTATAAAAAAAAATAGGGACATGGTTTACATGTTGCCCTAGGAACATATGACCCTCCAAATGTTTTTGGATTGTATCCCACATCAACCGTAGCCATCAGATTCACTAGTGAGACATGATGGAAGTTGCTGTTTTGTTACATCTGGAAGGCCACATCTTTGGCTCTAGAATAGGAGTGGAGAGCAATACAATACAACCAGCACTGAGATTTTTGCTACTCCCAAACTAGGCACAGGGTGGCATTGTCAATTACAGATTGTAACCATACCAGAATTTCTGTTCTTCCTGGCCTCTAATTCAGCAGTCTAAATGTGAACCACACCAAAGCACAGGAAGCTGATTGATTTTTGTTCTAGTTGCCAAAAGGTTTGGCCACTGTTGATTAGATAGTGGGCCCAAGATGAATGGGAAATTTGGAGGAAGTGAAAGCCCAGATCACTGGCCAATTTGGTAAAGAATATTCTTGATGTTGCAAACAGCAACTTTGGAAAGAAGTTTACTTCTTGAAGCACATAAAAGAACAATCTTTATGGGTGAATATTCCTGCAATCAATTTTCTCACCAACCTTTCTTCTCTATTTCTGTTTCTTGTAAAGGAAGCCTTTTATAGCAGTTTTGTGTAATAGTGTGAAAAGATACTTCCATTATGATCCCCCAGATTCAGTGGAAGCATAGAGTTCATAAAATATCTAACAAGCTTAGTGCAGAAACAAAAAAGTTAATCTTACAAAGAAAAAAAGATTAGATTGTTTTTTGGCCATTGATTATATATCACAAATCAATGTCCACATACAATATAGCAGTGTTTTTTCTCAGTCAGCAACTTCATTTAGTTTGGAGTTTTCATTTCTTTAATTGTAGAATTGTGCATCCTGCTTCTTCAGCCTTAAAATGCTGCTGAACAATAATATCATTGATTGTGAAACAATTGATTAAACATGGAAAGCTTATATGGAGCAGCACAAATTCTGTTGCATTGTGTAGGAGTTTTCATTTCCCCTCAACACTTGAAATGGGATGCAACTATTATAGGCAGTTGTGTAATGCCTGTGATGCGATAGGACATAGCACTGTCCCCCATGCCAATTTGTGAATGATTAAAATTTGTAAAGTATTCCTTGAGGATGGGTTTTCTGTCTGGTTGCACCCCACATGTAGGACCCTTAGGTAGCTCTTGAAATTAGGAGGTAAAGAAATGCTAGCGGGTCCACCTGCTTTTTCTCATCCTCTAAAACACCTCCTACCTTTTGGCCCTATTGAACTAGGTCACTTCAAAGTGTGTTCTACATCTCTCTTCATTTTCCCTTACTTAAACAAGAAAAATAGCAACTAATATTCCCTCTGAGATGTGTTCCACCTTCTCTCTCAGTCTTCTTGTGTGTCACAGGAGAACACAGTTTTGAGCTTCTTAGTTGTATATTGGCACATACAAACCCCTAAAAGAGAAAAGTTTAATGGGCTTATAGTTCTCTCCATCCAAAGGTTTTTTGCATTTTGGCAAATAAGCAAGTGATATATTTGAAACTAGATAGCACTCTGTCTCTCTTTATCAGTTTGCTTACGAGTCAGCTGTCTCATCCTGTCAGCAGTTATTTACATTGCTTTATGTGTTGGGAGCTTTGGGTGCATTCTCTGTCCCTTTACCAAAAGACTAAGTAATGCTGTGAGTGTGGTACAGAGGTCTTGATCAGGTTTCAATGCTATCTCCACTATTTCTTCCAAACAATAAGCAGAAGAGTTGCTGTGAGTCTTCTGGGCTGTATGGCCATGTTCCAGAAGCATTATCTCCTGACGTCAGGAGAGAATGCTTCTGGAACATAGCCATACAGCCCAGAAGACTCACAGCAATCCAGTGATTCCAGCTATGAAAGCCTTTGACAACACATTGAACAAATCAAAACATATATTAAAGTGTGATGGGGAAATGCCCTATTCCCAGAGTCCTGGCATAAGTACAGGTGACAATAAATTAAAATAATGGCTGGCATCCTGCTAGAGAATTTTGATGGTATAGTCAGATTTATGCCATTGCAGTAGGTCACTGCAGAGGTCAGAATTCAAGGTCCACTATGCAGTATCCCAGATCCATCTCCAAACTGCTTTTCTCAGCTGCAGCACCTGAACACAGCTACTTCCAGAGCAATGGCCAGGTTCTCTGTCATGTTTCTATGTGTCCAGAGAGAGGAAGGCAATTGGATTCTGTCCGCTTCTCTTCCTGAATTATTGGCCAGGAAATGGCAGTGTTAGAAGGGCTGCAGATGAGAAAAGATAGTGTGCACTTAGGTGAGAGACTATTGTAAGTGCACCTCATTTTGATGTTTCTCAGTACAGGTCGTAACAGTTAACTGAAACCTTGTTAAAGCCTATTTTAGGAAACGGAGAAAATATTAATAGTTCTGGCCCATTCCAGCTACATGCTCTCCAGCCACATTTAACTGTCCATTTACACCTGTTTGATAATGGCAAATATAACCCTGTTTGAGCCCAGCATTCTGTAATAAAGCAATAATAATAAACTTTGTTTATATCCCACCACCATCTCCCCAAAGGGACTCCAGGTGGCTAACATGAGACCAAGCCCAAACAAATTACAATAAAGCAAAAGCACATATAGAACAGACAGTAACATCAAATAAAATGCTTAACAAAAACATAATAATGTAATCAAAATAACAAAAACATAATAAACGCAAATTGTAAAATGCTAAAGGAATTAGACAAAGCGAGCTAGGCCAAATGCAATGGGTAAAACATTACAAAACCCATGGGTGAGATAGATAGAAGGTGCTAAGACTAGTGGGAGGATCGGAAGGGATAAACAATCAGATTAATCTCCACTGAGGGATGAGATGAAGTGCATCATAGTCAAATTGGTACTGAGACGTATGGCAATTGGTTGTAGGATCCTATATTCTCCAAGTTGTTTTTGCTTTGCTCCTACTCCTGTGCTTCTAAAGTTTTTTCTAGAAGCTCTTTCCCTAACATTGTGTATAAATTTTTTATATTAACAGTAAGTTTTAATTTTTTAAGAATATTATGTCATAGGCACATACTTGCTTAGTGTTAAATGTCTATGCAAAAAAATGAGGGGAAAAACCTGGTGTGAATGGGAGCAGTCTTAAAATTGTATTTTAAGAAGACAAGTTAACCCTGGCTCCTATGCCATCTTTTCCTCTGTCTCTTCTCCTCTTTCCCTTCCCACTACCTTAGGCCATATTGAGTAAATGTTGGCTCCATTTCAGGGTTTCTGTGGTATAAAGGAGAGAGAATTTGCTGCCTTTTTGGTGTATGGTGTGTCTGCATGGTTACGTTGTGTGCGTGTGTTTGTGTGCATGCTTGCCTCTTTCCTTCTAATGTGAATTCTAGCAGCAAGTTTTTGTGTTTTTGTTTTTTTTGTTTGTATCTTTTTGTTAATAAGGTTGACTGCCTTCAGCCAGTGGCAAAAGAGGAGCCCCCTCCATCAGCCACCAAATTCCAGTCCATCGGGGTACAGGTAGAGGACGAGTGGCGGTAAGTGGAAGACACAGGCTTTTGTTTAAACCCAACCCAACAGCCATTTCCTATTTTATAGTGTAGTTCCCCTCTTTCCTTTTTTCCCTGACTCAAATTGCTGCTGATCAACGGTTGTTTGTTGAACCCTTTCTCAGCAGCATGTACTCTTACCAAAAAAGTTGGCTTAGTAATGTAAGCAAATCATTGGAGGCCTGAAATGGAAAAGAAATGTAATTATGTATGCCAGCCTTTGTTTGGATGCCCTATTGCAGTAAGCAGGCAACCTTATAATTTTGTCTGTCTGCATGTGTGGTGTGTGTATCTGTGTGCAGAGAGGGTTGGGCAATGAAATGCGGTTCAGCTGCAGATGCCATAAACAAATGCATAATGTTGTCTTTGTGTACCGTGTAAGGAATCCAGGCCTTTGCTTGGGCTGCCTCTCACGAGTCTCTCCTGCCCCTCTTTCTCTTTGTAGCAACAGCCACTCTCGCAGCATGTCCACCAAGCAGGATACAGATTCTGATTCTCAAGAACCGAATAACTCTACCTGTAAATCATCTGAGAGAAGCCTTGCTGACTGTCCCCCATGCAACAACTCCAACAGCCTTGATGCCAGTACAAGGCAAACAGCCATGCCCTCCCAGATCAACAGAAACCTCTCCTATGGAGATAGCAATGACCCAGCTCTAGAGCCTTCCTCTCTTCCTCCTCCGGACCCTTGGCTTGAAACTTCCACTAACACTCCGTCAGAACCAACACAACCCGGAGCATGCCGAAGGGATGGGTACTGGTTTCAAAAGCTGCTACAGGCAGAGACAGAAAGGTTAGAAGGGTGGTGTCGTCAGATGGACCAAGAGACCAAAGAGAATAATCTCTCTGAAGAAGGTTAGTATCTGTGAATTGGCAGTGATGAACAGGGAGATGTTAAACCTGAAGGAGTCAGACCTTTTCCTTGTTGTTAGTATCTGAATGAGTGTGAAGCTGGGTTAGTTATTGAGACCAACGCTTTCTACCTGTGTCCTGGTTTGCACTTTTTTCTATCAAGGATTTTAAGTTGATAAAAGCATAATCTCAGTAACAAAGCTGGACTTCCTCACATGTGTGTGCTATTACAGTGTTTCTAGTGATAACCTGAACCAACTCTAGTACTGTGATCTTCCTTGTGATCCCCCTCAGCTATGTCATCAGTGCTTCATGTTCTAAAGACATTGTTGCGCTGTTTCTCTCCCCTCGATCCGAGAGAGAAAGGGAGCCGATGCTCTACTCAGCCGCTTGCAGAGCTGGCACTTCTCTGCCGAGCCTAATGTGCCCGTCTCTCCGCCATTGCGGCACACCTGGAAGCTCTAACCCCATGTTCTAAAGACATTGTATTGTAATCATAGCCTAGACCAGGGGTCCCCAAACTAAGGCCTGAGGGCCAAATACGGCCTCCAAGGTCATTTACCCGGCCCTCGCTCAGGGTCAACCTAAGTCTGAAATGACTTGAAAGCACATAACAACAACAACAATCCTATCTCATCAGCCAAAAGCAGGCCCACACTTCCTGTTGAAATACTAATCAGTTTTTATTTGTTAAAATTGTTCTTCATTTTAATTATTGTATTGTTTTAACTGAGGTTTTTTTTGGCCATACAATAAAGATATGTGTAGAATCATAGAGTTGGAAGAGACCTCATGAGCCATCCAGTCCAACCCCCTGCCAAGAAGCATTCAAAGCACCCCTGACAGATGGCCATCTAGCCTCTGTTTAAAAACCTTGAAAGAAAGAGCCTCCACCACACTCCGGGACAGAGAGTTCCACTGCTGAACAGCTCTCACAGTGTAGTCTGCATACAAATTCATTCATGCTTTTTGCAAATTATAATCTGGCCCTCCGACAGTTTGAGAGACTGTGACATGGCCCTCTGTTTAAAAGGTTTGAGGACCCCTGGCCTAGACATTTAAATGTAATTGAGGTGTGGCTAGACAAAAAGTTTCCTGGTCAGTTTTATGTACAACATCAGTTCAAAAAATATGGATACATTTTTAGGATATGTTAAGAAAAAATACTGTGTACTTGACATAGCTGAGAATTAAGTCAGGTAGACACAAACGGTGTGGTATAGTAGCTGGAGTGTTGACTCTAGTGTCCAGGGTTTGATTTCCCAGTTCACAGTTGGAAATCTCGTGGTTGTTTTCGAATGAGTCACACACTCTCAGCCCCAGAAATCTGTGATAGGGTCATTGTAAGTCGGAAACAACTACAACAGTGATTTGACTGCTCATTAGAAATCCCTGGATGCAAATCAATGGTGAAGACAAATTGTGTTCAGAATGTTGGTCTCCCTGATGTTGGCACCATTGATTCAAATGTTGTGGATGAGATTTTGGGAGAATAGGAAGTCAGCCTTCTCATTCTTCTCACATGAGTTCACTGGCACACTATAGCAAACAAAAAAAATTATTGGTGTGACTGTCTGCCATTTCTGATGGTGACAGGTATTAAAGAGTATTGCTGTTGGAAGCAGAACAAGAACTGACAACACACACACACACACACTGACAAAGGATCCATGATTTCATCATTGATGGCTCTAAGAGACAGAAAATGCTTCTGTGATTAGAAAATAGAGAATATATGTATAAAATGAAGTTAGGAGGGACTTTCCTCTTAAATTTCTTTGTATTCAGTTTTTTTTAAATGCTATCCTTGCTTTTTATCTTAAATATATTTTTGTCTTCTCCAGTCTTAGGCAAAGTCCTTAGTGCAGTGGGCAGTGCACAACTATTAATGTCACAGAAGTTCCAGCAGTTCCGTGGCCTCTGTGACCAAAATTTGGTGAGTGTAAAAATCTGCACAATTTGTTTTCCTCAGCCACATTAGAAGCTCAGAGAGGCTTCCTAATCCTCAAAATAGACATGAATTCTGTCACAACCCCATTTCTTCCCTTTTCCTTGGTCTCCACTATGGGGAAAAGTATAGAACTAGTTTGCAGCAGAATATTTACCGATGTTCCAACTATTTCATATTATGCAAAGCATGGCAAAAACTCAAAGCACCATGTAGGTCAGTGGTTCTCAACCTGTGGGTCCCCGACGTTTTGGCCTACAATTCCCAGAAATCCCAGCCAGTTTACCAGCTGTTAGGATTTCTGGGAGTTGAAGGCACAACAAGACAAGGCACATTAGACAATATAGAACAACCAACTATAACTTAATAAACAAAATAACAAAAAAAATCAAGAAATACAAAAACCTGATAAAATACACTAAAAATAAAACTTTCTAGTTGTCCCAGTTCGTAGCAGCAAAATAAATCTCAGAGCATTAATGCATGTCTGATTTATTGTGTCATTAAAATATGAGTGCAATCTCCTAACACTCAGAGAAGAAGCTAAGGGTTATTTCTGGTTTGTTTCTCTGTATATTTGGAAAAGAAACTAGTGAACAGCTAGGGATTGCACAAGGTCCATATTGTGTGTGTGAAATGCCAGGATTCCTGCTGTTCTTTGGTTTGTTGTAATGTTGAATTCATCCATACACTTTTGAGATCCTTTGAAGACTATATGTATCTACAAGTCAGTATCTTAGCTTTAAAATTCAAACAAATTTAGGATAAGGGCTGGAAGTGTTTTGATAGATTCAAAGAGTGCCCATACAAATCAGTTAATAGAGTTTTGTTTTGTATGATTTTAATGCAAGCAGCATGTTATGCTATGTAACAAAATTTGAAAAAAAATCTGTTTCTGGCTTGAAAGTATTATTTCCTGTTTAATTGTTATACTTCAGGAACTTCATTTTTGTGACTGCCACAAACTATGTTGAATTGGTTGTGAGATATTCATTGCAAAACTATAGCCAGGATGTCCCGCAAAAAAAACAAAATTTTGCAGTTTATTGAAAATTTGCCATATTTTTATGATAGAATCAATTAGGAAATGACATTTGTAATCCAGGAACACAAATTGTGTTACATAGTGTTTTAGGTGGAAGAGAGATCCTATTCCCAGAGTGGCTGACCGAGCATATTTGTGAAGTTTGTTTTCAAATGGTACCAAATTTTAAAAAATGAAGAATGAGTTGTCAGTGGCAGCACATTTTTGGCTAGAGGTAGAATATTATGTACAGAGCAAAACTATCACTTCTCTACAAGGCTTGAAAATTTGTTTTTTTACAGCAAAAGCATGCATATCCTTAGCACATTTTTTCATTCCTGTAAAATTTGTGCAGATGGATTTGGTGCCTTTATGGAAAAAGCTCCACATTTGGCCTAAAGAATTGCCATTCCCAAATGCTGTAACCTTCTGTCTCTTTACCCTCTCTTTACTTGTATCAAACCAATTGATGTGTGAAGAGCGCTCATATGTGTGGGGGGCGGAGACGACACACAAGTGAACAAAAAAGAGTGCCATCCCTCCCATATGAACATTGTCATAGAATGAAAAAGTTGCAACATACATGCTCAGACTGCTTACAGTTTGAGACAACAAACACAACCCAACTTCAAATTTATTTTGGTTCAACCATGTTCCTGATATGGTCTTGCATGTTGTAATGAGTGTTTGAGTGTTTGGTGTACAGAATTAAGCACTGAGTGATTACTCTGGAGACCAGAGTTCAGATCTCTGCTCAAGCATGGAAACCCACTTAGTGGCCTTGGGCAAATCGTACCCTCTTAGCTTCAGAGAAGGCAAAGACAAACTCGCTCTGAACAAATCCTACCAAGGAAACCCTATGACAGGATCTCCATAAGTAATAAACAATTTGAAGGCACACTATAACTAAGTAGATCTGTATCTTACATTTATACTCATCCCACTGCCATCACCTATCCTATCCTACCCAATTTTTAAGACTTTTTCTGGGTCACAAAAGAACACTGGGCTTAAATTTCCAAAAAAAAGTACCATCTGTGTTGTTCTCTGTGTTGCTATCTTTGTAAAGTGTTATCTCCAGAAAGAGCAAAACACACTTTTTCTTTAAATAGACTCATGTAGTATCATGTTGGTCCCACAGAATTACTGTTCTAAGAACCAAATATGGCCATGCAGTATCATCCAGTTTAGTTACAAAATTTGACAATCTGTTGCCTTGCAGATTAAAAGAGATCAGCCAAGAGAATAAATGGCAGTCATAAAGGGATTCATAACACCCAGAACATACATGCAAATTGGCATGACAGATACCTTTGTACCTAAAAGTAATATATAGCTCTTTTTTAAATGCTGGTTCTAAATGGCAGCAGATACATTTAGTAGAAATGCCAAGACACTGATTTTCTCACTCATGTTGTCTTTTCTACAGAACCCTAATTCCAATCCCAGGCCCACAGCACAGGACCTTGCTGGTTTTTGGGATCTCTTACAATTGTCCATTGAAGACATCAGCATGAAATTTGATGAATTGTATCACTTGAAAGCAAATGGCTGGCAGTTGACAGAGCCACCAGAAAAGAAGGTGAGCATGCAGTCCTTTTTGAGAAACCAGACTACTGTGATACTAGTTGAAGAGGAAGTTTGCTTTTGTTTAGATTTTTAAATATAATGGAGATGTAGAAGAAACACTGTGGTGGATCTACATTAGGCAACACACAGCCTTGATTCTAAGAATTTATTTGAAAGTAAGCCAGCATGATTTGAGTGTTAGACTAGAACAGTTGGAGACCAGGTTTCAAATGCCCTCTCAGTCATGCAACCCACTGGGCGACCTTAGGTAAGTCATACTTTCTGCCACAGAGGAGGCGACAGCAAACTCCTTCTGAACAAATTCTGTCAAGAAAGCCCCATAATTGTTTCACATTAAGGTCAGCACAAATTGGAAAATGTTTGAAACAAAAAAATACCTACAAGGCCTACATCTTTGTCCAGTGAGAATTATCTAGCAAGTAATTAGATGTAATCATAGTAAAGGTAAAGGTTTCATTTGACATTAAGCCTAGTTTTGTCTGACTCGGTGGGTTGGTGCTCATCTCCATGTCTAAGCCCAAGAGCCGACATCCATAGACACCTCCAGGGTCATGTGGCCAGCATGACTACATGGAGCACCGTTACCTTCCTGCAAAAGTGGTACCTATTGATCTACTCACATTTGCATGTTTTCGAACTGCTAGGTTGGCAGAAGCTGGGCCTAACAGCAGGAGCTCACCCGCTCCCCGGATTCAAACTGCCAACCTTTTGGTCAGCAAGTTCAGCAGCTCAGCGGTTTAACCTGATATGCCACCAGGGCCCTCCAGATGTAATCATAATTTTATTTCATATAGCAACATAAGTACCTGGCATTTACCAGGTTCGTTATTTTGCATACAATTTACTGTTGTATTAATTCTTAGAAACAAAACAAAACTGAAAGAGAATGCAACAATTATAGTATATTATAAGTTTTTAAAAGTCTGAGAAAATAGGAATATCTTTGCTTGGCACACACAAAATTAATGTTGGTGTGCCGTAACAATAAGCAGTATGCTGTGGTCTTAGGGCCATCAGTCATGCTGAGAGTTAGATTACAAGCCTGATCCTTATGAATGATGAAAAATGATGCTGAATTGCTTTGCTTCATGCATTCTCAGTCCAGCCTAGTTCCTTTGTCTTGGAATTAAGGGAACTTGATTTTATAAGTCTCTGTGATTTAAACTAGCGGCTTCTTTAAAAAGAAATACCTGCAGCATTTAATTTGTTGCAGAAGCATTTAAAAAATAAAGAGAGCTCTCCAGTGGCAGTGTGCTGAATGGCCATAGGAATTTTTGGCACAAATCTCTGATAGTAAACAAAGCTGCTTATAAACACGTAAGGAAAAAGGGAACTTGTATGCATTTTCTTGACTTTGTGTTTGTTACTTTCTAAAGGAAGAAAAGAAGCCACCCCCTCCTGTGCCAAAGAAGCCAGCCAAACCTAAATCCCAGCTAAACCGGGACAAGGCCTCTGACTCGGTGGATAAACAGCGCCAGGAAGCACGCAAGCGCCTTATGGCAGCCAAGCGCGCAGCCTCTGTCCGGCAGAACTCTGCCACGGAGAGTGCGGACAGCATTGAAATCTACGTCCCTGAGGCACAGACCCGTCTTTGAGCAAGGGGAAGAGGAAGAAAACTCTTTTTCACGTCATTAAAAGGAAGAGGAAAAAAAGGTTCACTAAATTTAGTGTGATTTATTTGGTCTAGAGACAAGGCAGAGCCAACCTTACAAAGGGCTCCGAATTTGGCTTTCTCTCCGTCTCTCCCCCTCTCTCTTTCCCCCTCTCTCTCCAGCTTTAAATAATGAAGATTTTGAAAGAAAATTCCCTTCCTGGTCCTGTGGTTTGGTTTTAATCCCCTCAGCACCCTTCACACTGGCTGTGGTGTGGCAGAACAGACTATTGGAAACACAGTCCTTTAGACTTGGAACTGCAACCTTTTTACTTGTTCTATCTAAGAAGAATTATTAGCTTGTTTACATGAAAAAGGACAACTATTTTGGGGGGGAAAGCCTTGGGCACTTGCCATGCTGCGCTTTTTTCGCCTCACTGTATTCTTTCTCTCCTCCTCTCCACACTGTCTTCTTCTCTCTGTCTCTCTTCTTATCCCCTGACCTGTTGTATCCCTAATCCTTGTTTTTTCTTCTGTCCTGTAGTTCCTAGCCTCTTTTCTTTTATCATCTTCCTCTGCATGGCGTTGTTTACTGTGTTAGAAGTAAACTCTTCCACAGAGCTCCAGAAGAAAACACCTGTTCAGCGTGTACTGTTGTTGCACTCTGCTAGTGAGCAGCCTTTTGTTCAATTATGTATTATTTTTCCCCCTAAAGGTGGGTTGGGAATGGGGAGCCTGGGGTGGGTTGGGGGAGGCAGCAGGGCATTGGGGTTTATATAGCTTGTAGTTTAATTATGTAAAAGGAGGGCAAGATCTGTGGGATGTAAACAGAGTGGTATGTTAACAGAGCCTTGGAAGCAAACATGTGCAATAAGGTAGTGTCGTGGCCTGCACACACCCATGAATGGTGCTGCAAAAGAAGGATTTCCCATACCAGATTTCCAGTTAGAAGTACTACAGGATAGATTCCTATGTTGCCTCATGCAACCTTCCCCCCCCCCCCTCCTCTCCACCACTACCACTCCTTGGCAGCAATTTTGTGTGTGTGGTTCTTGTGTACAAGTTTCTGTGTTAGAAGTATCTACTACACAGGAGGGACAAGACAACTGTATCAAACTGTTTTGAAATAATAGTCCATTTTATAGTGGAGGACAATGGCATTTCTTCTGCTAAAAGAGGGGGTTATCTGGATGAAGGGCTGGCAGTTTGCCTGATTGCCTGTATGTATGTGTACATATGCACATATACACTTAGTAGGATCTGTATATTTAACACGTACACATACATGCCCATTCGCTCATGCACGCATTCAGGTGGTGTTTTTCAAAAGCACCTCAGTGAGAGTGGGTGTATGTATAGCATATATTTTTACATGTACTATAGCTAGATGTGTGTAAAAGTGTGTGCAAGAATATATACCCTGCATATTCCTCTCTCCTTCCGGTGCTCCCTTGTGTCTCAAGGGAGGAGCAGTCATCCAAGTTCACTTTGCCCCCTCCCTCCACTCCCTATTTTGATTAAATTCTCTGGAGAGACAGGAGTCAGGTAACTTCTTTTAAACTTCTCCTCTGCCCACTAAACTCTACCACCCAGTGTGCATTTTTCTCAGAGCAGTGTACTCCCATTGTGGAGGATGACAGAAGCTCTTCTGTGGATGGCTTCTGGCGGACAAAATCCCAAATGAATGTTATACGTACCTGGCATGTTAGAAGTTTACAGAGAGGATAAGAATGGCTACAACCTAAATCATGTCAGTGAACCTGTGTCTGGTGTCTATGCATAGAGAGCATTAGATTCTCCACCTCTCAAGTTAATGTGCAGCTTTGTGACCTGTGAAAGCTTGGCCATACATAACATGGCTTCAAATCAAAAAGCGATTTATTCCCATAATTTCGCCATTTTCCCTTCCCAAATACCTTTACAGGTAGAAGGTGCCTGATCTGACTTTTGAGCAAATGGCTATGTCCCACAGTTCTTTGCATTATAAAATGGAAACACTTGGAATGTGACTTAGTTTTACTCACATTTCCAAAAGGACAGCAATGCTATTAAGACTAGTACTTGCTTGATGGGTCCCATTGCTGCTCGGCATCTTTTAGCCAACTTTGTCAATGGAATTAATCTTAAAATCCAAGTCAGTCCAAATACATTAGTTTACAGATTGCACCTTAGATCAGCTTTCACTGCACCTGCTTCAGAACTGCTTCTCACATTACATGGTGTCAAAGGAGTGTTAGCATCAGTCCATACACACACACACACACACACAAGAGCAGCTCTCTTGGAATGTGTACCTACGAGATACATGTATTTAGCACATTCATCTTTTACACTTGAGGTGTGTTCACAATGTTTTTTATTCGTACATGGAAAAAGTTAGTGAAGTAGGGGGGAATGTGTCTTCAGTCTGTCACAATAAGTAATAAAGATATCAAGTTCTACAAGAGCATTGTGAAGGAGGTTGGACTATGAGCAGAACATTTCTGAGTCTCAGCCACTCTCACTCTGGCAGGTAAACTAGCATGAGTTTTCATGCAGGGGGAATGGAGTACTGAAATCAATGCAAAAGCAGTTGGCTGTTTTTTAAAGCAACTGAGTGTCAATAAAACTTCACCACTATTTAAAATTCTTTAACTTTCTCCCTTCCTTGAACAAATGTAATATAGTTGATAGTCATTGTTTCTCCAGAGTTTTAGGAAAGCACTGAAAACTACAAGGACGTCAGTTCCATAAAATGACACAATTTTGTGCATCGTTCAGTGTCTGGGAGGCAGATCAAAAAGGGGCACGTGTTAATTTCTCCTTCGCTGCAGTAGATTTCCGAGCTTAATATTTCCAGGCTTCCTTACAGCATATGGCATGCATATTCCAATTGGGTTTATGTAATGGGGAGACAAGGTAGCAAATGCAAAAGAATCACGGGGGCATCATTTTTACCCCTGTCATAATGCAAACCTTTTAATTTAATCCAGGGATAAAACAACTGCCTTCCAGACACCTAAATCTCTATGGTCTCTTAGGAGCACAAACAGGGTGGCCCAATAGGCACAAAATATATTTCTTTAAAAAAAAAAGATTCAAAGGGCTGTGATCCTGCTAAATTTCCATTGTGCCTCTGGGTCCTGAATGTTACAAGCAGATTAAAGAGAGTTTAAATACTTCTACATGTCTGTAATGCGATTCAGATAATCTCCATCCTCTACTTGAATCAGGTGGGGCTTGTTTTATCAGTTTTCTTTAAATTGGCCATGCCTCTCCCATAGAATTCCAGAGCAAAAACACACAAAAGATTGCCAATAACAGGTCTAGGAAGACGTCTGTGATATAAATGATTTCACCCCTTGTAGCAATGGTTCTGGGGGGAAAATATACTATTTTGTGTTTTCCTCACCCTTTTTAAGTTACACTATTCTGATTTCAGTGTTCTTCACTTGACAATCTAAAGTGAGCCATCATTAATGGCTCTGAAAATCCCATTTGGTGAAACTGTGCTCCATAGCTGCTTCTGTAGTACTGTTTATCTAATACATATGTGGATTTAAAACAAATGTACATAGCTTTGATAACTTGTTTTTTTCCCAACCATGAAGAAGAAGAGGTGGTATTTTCCCTACAGTAACCTTAGTTTTATGACAGAAAAGAACAATAAGAAACAGCTGTTTAAGTCCATGATTGTTAATTTTGTGATAATATTTTAAAAGCAAAATGAAAGCCCAACGTTTTGTAATGTGAACTTGGCTGCCATTGTAAACTACAGTAAAACGAACCAACAGATGGTCCCTCTTCGGTACCTGTGTGCCACTGTCTCTTGCAGTTTGTGATCTTTACTCTATGAAATCCCAATTTACAAAGCAGGCAGCCAGATATAGAAAAAAATTAAGTGAATTGGGTGGGGAAAATGTGTTTCTAAATCAACCAAGAATTTTAGTTTAGGGAATGTTTTTTGTCACCCATGAGGGCATGACCAGATTGGTCATTAATAAAAAACAAACAAACAAAAAACTTGGTCAGAGTATTTTATAAATTTGTGTTCACTGATTGAATGTCAATCTATTTAGCAAGTTTTGGCGATTTTTCACAAAAGGATATAACTAACAACCATGCAATCCAATTTTGTCATTTGGGACTTATTTTGTCATTTGAGAGTAGTAGTTGCTGAGATTTATAGTTAACCTGCAATCAAAGAATATTCTGAACTCCACCAATGATGGAATTGAACCAAACTTGACACACAGAACTCCCATACCCAACAGAATATCCTGGAAGGGTGGGCACTGACCTTGTTTTGGAGTTGTAGTTCACCTACATCCAGAGAGTACTGTGGTCTCAAAAAATAGACCAAACTTGGCATGGGTACTCAATATGCCCAAATGTGAACACTGGTGGAGTTTGGGGGAAAATAAGACCTTAACATTTGGGAATTGTAATTGCTGGGATTTATAGTTCACCTCAAATCAAAGAGCATTCTGAACCCCACCAACGATAGAATGGGGCCAAACTTCCCACACAGAACCCCCATACCCAACAGAAAATACTGTTTTCTGATAGTCTTTGGCAACCCCTCTGACACCCCCCTCGCAACCCCCAGGTTGAGAAATGCTGTTCTAGGACATGATCAGATGTTCAAATCCTTTTCATACTCTGGTGCTGAGATCATTTCTATTTCCAGTGAGATATGTGGCAGATTTGTTTTTATTTTTGGACATTTTCTCTGGCTATATTTGTATCATGAAAGATGGGTTCTTGTTCTGATTCAAACAATCCTGCTTTTGATGGAATGAGTGGTACAATAAGATGGTACTGGAGCACTCAATCTGCAGGGCCATGTTGCTTACATTACAAGCCTTTGGTTCTAGCAAAGAGATGGGACACCTTCCCATTGTTGCACCCAAACTCCCATCATTTCTCATTTAATGTCTTCGCTGGTTATGACTTGTGAGAATTATAATCCATGAACACATGCAGAACCACCTCATATGTTCTAGTGGGCTGCATACAAAAGGCATCCAAGCAGATGGTGGAAATTCTTCTTCCCCTTTTCAGTTTAGTGCAGATTCTAGTGTCTGGATGAGAGGGAATCCTGGAATGGCAATGGGGGTGTGTTGTTGATAATGCTCCACTCCTTTTGTTCTCAGGTAAGACTTGAATTATTTGGAATTCTGTTTTTCTGGGGAAATTGTGTATAGTGCTTCTTTCTCCCCATCCCTCCAACCCTATTTGTGGGACATTATGATTTGATTTCTCTAATTGACCAATTTCTGCTTAGTGCTTTGGTGTTTTTCTCAGCCTAAGTGTTTGAGATTAGAAACTTGGAAGAAACTCACAAATATTAAACATGTACACTGCAGTGATGGTACCTGTGCCTCTTCAAACATTGTTGAAACACAGCTCTCGTCTGGGAGTGCTGATTGAAGCCAAGGATGACTAATTTTTCAAAGTCTCTTTTATCAGTATTCCTTTTGAAGAAAACTTTAACAACTTTAAGAGTGACACCTGCTATTTTTGATCCATTGCCACATGAACCTACAGTGCTTGAATCAACACACAAAGCCATGTTGGTTTATCGTCCCTGATTCCACACATCTGAACTCCATGTCTCCTGGTTTAGGGAGACCCAGGCCCCTTCTCCACTGTGATATAATCCAGATTGTCAAAGCAGATAATCCATATCTGCTTTGACATGGAAGGAGCCTCCTGAAAGACTGAGTAAATACAGTTGGGCATCCCCTGGGCAACGTTTCTTGTAAACAGCTAATCTTGCCAGACCCAAAGGCATTGTTTTTAAACATTTGAATCTAGATTTAAATCAGATAATCTGGATTTTATTCAGCTGTGCAGAAGGGGCCGCAGACTCATTTCCTGCAACCTTGTGGAGATCTTCTAGTCATGGCAAGACATCTAATTTGCCACACTGTTTACTGATCTTATGTTCCCTGAAATTACTGCGTTTTTTCCCAATTATATATTTGCTTTTGATGTGCCATGTTTTTATATTTTTTTATATTTGGTCTTCACATGTGAAGTGAGGCAGACAGCAGGTTGGACTAGATGGCCCTTGTGCATCTGTGGATACTGCTGAGGAAGTTTGGGGTGCCTGTAGGAGAAAGGGGTATTTTGGGGTCTGCATGGGGATGCAAAACCATCCAGAAGACCACCAGAACTAGTGTAGTAATGACAGACTGCTATACCCCACATGCTCCATACCCCACATGCTCCAAAGTGCCTTTTTTCCAAAGTTACTTGTAACATTTTACAAATAATAATAATAGTAATAATTTTATTTCTTACCCACCTCTCCTCACAGCTCAAGGCAGGTTACAACATTGCTAAATAATGCTACAAACCTGTGAGAACATGCTGGAAATTTACATGCCGATCTTTAAAGTGTCTTTTTAAATTGTGCGGCACATCTCCATTCCCATAATCCTTCATCGTTGCAGGCTGGGACTGATGAGCAATACAGTCACCGGAGGGCACCAACTTGAAAACTGCCCAAGAGGGAAACTCTTAGTTCATTTTTTCACATAGCTTTGTTTTGATACTTTTTGTACAGCTACAGTGGAGACTAATTTCAGAATATGAGACACCATTAACTGTGCCCATGCTTGCTGGGAGGGCAGGGAAGCAGACAGTAGTACAGAAAACTATAATCATTATGTCTTGTCTTTTCACAGTACATTCTCTGCAGTATGACTGACAACCCAAATCATAACTTTAGGTGAAAAAACATCCTCTATTTTTTAAAAAAGCACATAAAATCCCAGGAAGTACAAGATGCCAACGTGACAAGTCATTAATAGCACTTCCAAGTAAAGCATACATGGCCTACTTTTCAAAAATCAGCTGTAGTTGTTCTGATTCTGTCAGTGCAGGCTGCCTTTTAAAGTCTGCTAGCTCACTTTTATTCCTTCTTTCATAAGGAAATTTTTGAACAGTTTTTTCACAATTGCACTGTAAAAACTAAAAAGCTTTTCTTGTAGCTTTTCAGAGGTCATTTCTGATATAAATACGTATAAGCTGTGGGTACCTATAGAATATTGTTCTGCAAGTACCATTTGACAGATGTGTATGTGTGTATACGCACGTGCAACAGCAACTGAGTGAATATTTTGCTCCACCACCTCCAAAGTTGCTTCCAAAGATAATGCAAGTTTTTTTTAAAAAAAAATGCATGGCACTGCCAGGATCACTTCTATAAAAATGCCCACAACAGTAAACCAGTCAACTCTAAACTGGTAAGCAGTAAGAACAGCCATTTCCCAGGGGTCAAAACATAACAGTGACCCTTCCACCACAGAAATGATTCTCCTGATGATAGTGTCCCATTTCTGGACTTGTTGTCAAAGCAGCTCTATCTTGAATGTGGAACAAGGGCATTCTGCAGTTGTGTAACCATGGTTTGGCTGATCGCTCCAATATGATGAACTGGTTCCACCAATCCTTACTGGTCTGGTATACCCTCCAATGGCAAGCCTACCTGGGCCCCTGACGTATCTTCACAGCAATATAGCACATCCAAGGTGTCACATGTAGCATTACTGCTGCCATCGAGCTTTGCACCTACAATGTTAATTAAATGTCCACCACACCGGATGCAGTGAAAATGGCTTGCAGTAAGCCTAAGATCACTGGGCAATATTCCAAAGTGGCCATCATATCACCCATCACCAAAAGGCATCACTAGCCAGTAATCGTGAAGCTGGTGACTAATGGTAGCTGTGAAGTAATAGTTGAGCATGACCAGTAACTTGTATTGCAAGGCTTGAAGGGGCAAGGAATGCCTTTGGCTGGAAAGGGAAAGTAATTGACTACTGACAAGTACAACTGATATATGTATAATCACACGTGTGACAAGCAAAATATATAAACGAAGTGTCTACTGCCTTATGGCTACTAATGATGTGATGAGAATGTATAGACTACTCCTTCACACCAAGGAGAGTTCAGCTAAGGGACTTGCGTGGATGCGTTCAACAAGCTCACCATGATGTGTACAACATTGACAAGGTCAGTGTGAAATCTATGTGGAATAGGAAAATGCAGTGTGAACCAGGATTTTTCAACTACCCGCAGTTGTCCACTGCTGGTTTAAAGACTCTTGAAAAACCTGTTCCCAAAGGCAGTCTCAGTGGGAGCACAAGGGTAAGAAACTGTCACTTTTACCAGTATTGTTGAAACTACAACTCAGCTTCTTTGACCATTGCTACAGAAGGGCCATTGGTTGTTCAATATATCCTTTCGTCATCTCTACCTTTTAAAGATGTGAGCTAGGGCCCATTGTACCACCTTTAGAAAATCTTTCCACTTCCAGAAACACTGATATTTTACAGCTACTACTATTCATTAAGCAAAAACAGGGAAGTGTTTCAGCACACTAGGATCACTGGAAATTCCTGGAGGCCAGGCAAGGCATTTCATTGCAACTCATTTGAGCTATTGCCTCAATACTCAATAGAACACACAACAAATTCATTCGAAATTATGTATTTTTAAAAAACTTTATTGATTAAAAAAATCCAAAAGTTATTTACAGTAGTTTTTGCTTCATAAATTTCAGGCAAAAGAATATTCTCTTTTTTTAAACTTCCCATTTAAAACAAGATTTTCACGTCATCTGGACAAACAAGTTACAGCAGTCTAGCCCCTGCACGAAAAAGAACAGGGTTATTATTGTAGGAACTGAAACTTTTAACTTCCTTTTTACTGTGCATAATTTGAGTTTTGCTTTGGCTCTTCCAATAGTGCTGAGAAAGGAAGTTTCTGCTGCCTTATGAAGTGGAGGTGAGATCTATCCGTGTTCCCTGTATTCAGTAGGGATTTAATATAGGGAGGAAGTAGTCAAAAGCAAATGTAAAGTAGATCTGTAACCAAACCTGGACCTCTGCTACTGCTTAGGAAGGCCCTACCAATTTCAATGGAAGACTAAAACAATACTTAAATCCAGATAACCAGAAACTAGCAGGCTAAAAGTCCTACCCCCAGGCATTCTCTCTAAATAGTATAGTATATGCACAACTGCGACAAAGAAAGCACAAATCACCTCCATCTACAAAGAGAAACCTCTTATTAGCAAAGGCCCTCCATGTGGTTTGGAGCCCTCTAAAATCACAGCGTAATGGAGAATATCCAGAGAAAATAGAGGCTTTCCCCTCTGAAAAGTAGTCTCATTATGCAGAAGGTAACAGAGGAGGCAGAGCTATGTACCACCTTCACATATTTTGTTGTACCCATTTGAGAGAATAACTTAATACAGCTGTGCACTCTAGGAATTAGAGGCATGCTGTTCAGACTTAAGGCTAAGAAAGACACGTTAATTAATTTTACCATAAACCAATGGTGGGACAATAAATGGAAGCACAACACACTGCTGTTTACAAGAAAATAAAATCTGCCCACCATGTTTAAACAAACATCAGGATGCTTTCCAAGGCAGCACTGCAGTATTTCTACTACCATGCTGCCTGTAGTAGAAATACTTTTCTAGAAGAGCAATTTATAATTTAAAAGGACACTCTCTTGGCACAGCAAACTACACCCCATGAGAAGTATTGGACTGGCTATGGGAGGAAGGCATAAAAAAGGGAATGGATAATTATTTGTAGGCAGCAGTAACAGGTTACACCATTCTTTAGCCCAAGTCCGTAATTTTATTGGCGGGTACAAAAGAAAAGGCACTCAAAGTATGTAATTGTAGTGGTAGGTTAGGGCTGGGAAGCCAATAGCCCTACTGAAATGGTTTTAAGTCCCACTGGCCCTTGCCAGTGGTGAAGCATGATGGCAATAGTACATATCTGAGGTTCCCATCCCAATAGTCAGCCCCATCCTTCTGGTTCCAGTTCTCCAACATGCACATACTGCTTGCCGTCCTCACGAGGTTTCCCAATGTCAGGTTCAAAAAAGTCTGAAAGTTGCATTCTGCTGGCTTTCTTATCTTTTACTATTCATGCAACATAATAATTAGGCTAATAACCTCTAAAATTAGTGTTTTCTCAAAATAGATAATATAGGTGTATATAATAGATCACTATTTGACTTACATTTACAGTGAAACAGCACTATAAAAAATAGATGGATATTCATCTTACTTCATGTTTCACAAGCTCCTGGTCTCAAGACAAACAGAGGTGCAAGTAAGTCAATGAAAGATGCACATCCTCACAGATCAAGACACAATCCCCAATTTCTCTCTACCTAAATCCAAAGCATACACCTTTTTTTTCTAATGCACAGATTTTTCTAATACAGGATACTGTTGAATCTAAACTTCAATCAAAGCTGCAGACACATGGGAAATATTAAAACAAACGGGGTGATATCAAGATAGTGTGTAATCGTAGCCCAAAGGAGGGGTTGCAGTTCATCACAGAAGATCCTGCTGTTTTGACTTTCCCTCCTGGCCACAAGTGGGCACCCTTGCTCCATCAGCAATGGAGTAACTACATTCAGCATGATGAATGCAAGGATACACAGAAAGACTCACACTCAAAAAGAAAAAAAGCCCTCTGAAGTCAGGATGTGTGTTTGTATAGGTAGTTTTGTCAGCACATCCTCATAGCTGCTGCAAGTTTTTCAGAGACACAATCAACAATATTCTAACAAAAATAAAGGGTTGTTTAAAGCAACTTCACAGTCAAGACTCCTTTGTTTAGTTTCTTTTACCCACCACCTCCAAAATGCCCTTTTGCTGATTTTGGTTAGTGTTCTACCAGCCCAAGTTCTCTCCCTGTTCTATGATCAGAATTTCAGACGGGAAAAACAGGGAAGGGTAGGCAGAAGGATGGGTAAAGGCACCAAAACCAGGCAAAAATTTCCACCAATAAAAAAAACAACAGTAATAAAAACTGTACAACAGCACCAAATGATTTTGTGGGTTTTTACTGGCACCAGTATCTGCAGGGTGGTAGTGGCCTACCCCACTCAGTCCACCCAGGGAAAGAAGAACGCCAGAAAGGTTGACGTTTCCAGTTAATCTGTTTGACACAGAGGATTTCCAGTAGATGTGAGTCAAGGGCCAGCCACTGATTCACACGAGAAAAAAACTATGTTAAGAAAAGCTACAGTAAAAAATGACAACAAACTCTTTAAAAAACACACACACATACACAGGTACAGAGACCATGAATGCCTCTTCTACAAAAGGACACATATTAGAAAGTTCTGAGAAAGGGTGGAATTGTGTCCCCTTTCTTTCTTGGATTACTCAAAAAGAAAGGGAAAACACCAGTACTTGTCTTTGCTCATCCTCTTCTGTTGTATTTTGGGCCCTTTCACTCTTCCATTTACATCAGCAGGCTTTGAAAATTGTAAGAGAGAGAGGTGAACTTCCACTCAATTCTGCCACAACAAATACAGTAACAGTAATAAAGGTATCGACCAGCAACAATGTTCTCTTAGAGGAAATAAGATTTCGGGGGCCTGTCAAGAGTCAGCTGTCTTCCCATGTACCGATTCTGGCAACTATGGACAGACCACATCCTCCATGTGGCTCCAGAAGGGAGGATGAAGGCCAAATCCATAAGCTGATAACCCAAAGCACAATGTGGTATGACCTGTTTCAAGGATGCACATGTGTATGTGCATGCGTGCATGTACCTCTTTTATATCAAGGTCCAGTGGCTCACTTCTGAGAGATGAGCAGCACAGAGCCAAATGAAAACCACAAAGGCACTGACTTGTTCTGTTCATAGTTGAAAGGAAACCACATTACATGGCCAACAGAACACAAATCCTGGAAAGCAAGAAAGGAAATGAAAGCCTCCAAGAGGAAACATGAGGCTCCAAGAAGAAACAAAGCTAGTTGGCTTTTCTGGAAAGAGCAGGGGTGGGACCTTCTCTCTGCAGTGATGGATGTAGCTGCCCGTTCAGCCTCTGCGAGTCAAGCTCTGCAGCCCTTTGCAGAGCTACTTCCACCAACAACTGAAAGCTGCTGAAGTCCTCTCCAAAGAGCTCAGGTGGTGTTGGAGGGGGCGTGTTAAAGAGTCCACTTGTGGGACTGGCAGCATCTGCCCTGGTCAGAAGAGCCAAAGTGTTGCCCGTTGTGCTCAAAGGAGGCTGTTTGGGGTGAGATTCCAGCTCAACCTGATGGAAGGTGGGCCGATGTTCTTGCTCACTTGCAATTGAGCTCAAGTTACCTGCCACAGGCCGCCCAGCATGGCAGATCATTGGAGGACACATAGACATGGAGAGCACCTTCGAGGCAGCACCGGTGGAAGGAGGTGGTACCATCAAGAGTCCAGATCCTGTGGCAGCTCCGCGGGTTAGTGCTATGTCACCAGCTTTAGTGCCTCGGCGAGAGATGGTGAACTGGTTTGGGTCCTTGCCATCCTTAAGCAGCATGTCAGGTAGAAGCCTGCGCCTGGCGTTGATGAACCAGTTACATATCTAAGGGATTAAAAATAATGGGAAGAGCCTTGGTTAGACACGTCTGAACAAGCAACAAGCAGCTGTGGCATGCAGCTACTCAAAGTCTGACCTTACATCCTAGGAAAGAAGATTCTAATCTACATCCAGGTAGAGGGTGCTCCTGGAGAAGAGAAACGTTACTTTGTGGACCACAAGTCCCATAATGCTTTCAGTCAATATGCCCTTGATGTCCAGGAGAACCTGAAAGCCATAAGTTTGAATCCTATTAACAGTTCCAACTGAGTGGAGCCCCTGAATCTATATGCTGAATCATAAATTAGAAAGTCACTCACTATAAAACATACTATAGTTGGGACTAAACAATAGGTTGTGATCTAAAATCTGATTCCTCTAAGTTTTGCAACTCAGGTTTCTACTTGTATCATGGGAAACAACATTACCAATCAAACTAAAAAGCTGGGGGAAAGAAGGGAAGGCAAACAGGCACATGTATAAAAATGAAGTATGGTGCAGTGAAAGAGCAAGAGAAACATAGCATCTTAAGCAGCAATCTACTGGGTTTGCAAACATCTCACTCTTCTTTCAAAGAGTTCGGGAGAGCCTACATGGTCTTTTCCTTGTTGTTTTAGCCTTACACCAACCCTCTGAAGTAGGTTAGATCAATACATATATAGAGTGGCAAAATTCAACCAATAGGCTTCATGACTCAGTATAGACTTAGATCCTGTGCTCTCTGGTCCTAAGGTAAATTGATGTTTTGGAAAAAGAAGTGAACGTAGGGCATCTATCTAGATTAGATGGGGGCTAGGAGTTCCATACTAGGGTTTCCGTGCCAGCCACCGGCACTGCCAAAATTTATAAATTCAAAGAAATTGGTAACTCTTTGGCAATATAAATTGTACACACAAGTTACCAAATCTATCTCAAGGCTCCATTGATTCTTGGCTGTAATCTCAATCCAAATAAAGATCTATGCAGTCACTGCTACTTAACTATGGTTTTAAAGGAATAGTAGGAGCTGAGTATCCCACCTTTCAGTTGTTGCTGGACTACAATTCCTAGAAATCCTTACCAGCACAGCTAATATTTAAGAACACTTGGAGTTGCAGCCTAAAAAACATCTTGAGTCACACGATTCCTGCCCCTGCTTTAACATTATTTGGCTCCACGTGCAACACTCTTCTGCTGTACGTATCTGTGTAACCTTTAGTCTTCTATGCTACAGCTTATTTTTCCTGCTCACAAAATCTTAACCCTACAGCAACATGCAGTTACTACTCCACACGTTAACTGCCCCTACATCAGCATGTTAAATGTTATTCATTTTCATTAACATTTTGCTCTTGAGTGCATTCATGTCTTCTCTTCTTGTGCATGAACACTGGGTGAATACAGACTGAAAATGACCAAGTGGCAACTTACCACAAATGTACAGGCAACTACTCATGTTGATTGGTTTGCTTGTCAATGGGTGCATTTACATTGTAGAACTAATGCAGTTTGACACCACTTTAACTGTTATGACTCATTGCTATGGAATCCTAACATTTGTAGTTTGGAGAGGAACCAGCAAAAGAAGGCTGAAATCTACCAGTCCTATGATTCCACAGCATTGAGCTACAGCAGTTAGTAGTATCCAACTGCATTAATTCTATAGTTAGATGCACCCAATAGAATCTAGCAAGGGATGAGGAGAATCTTACTACTCCTTGTTTTCCTGAACTTCTGACCAGGAACAAGTGTAAATAACATTATCGAAACCTCTGGCAGAGGGATACAAAAAAAAAGTCATTAGGCTCACCAGACTTATTGTGTTTTATTCCCTATGCTAATTTATTGTCATGTGGCAAATGTTCTTCTGAACTCATCTATTCAACTCTCCCGCCACTGACAACCTGACGCCAAAAAGGGGGCAACATTTTAAAGAGATTTCCACAAAGTTGCCAAAAAATTTAAAGCATCCACTTGCAAATTTAAAGCATCCACTTGCAAATAACATCTCAGAAATTATTGACAATAGGTTCAATATTAACGAGAGTACACAGGTCTAAATCTTGTATCCAGGGCTTTCTCAATTCAGTTAGCTGTAAACCTGAAAACAAGTGTGGTGGGGAAGCATTGAAAACAAATTGAAAGATCTACTTCAGAAGTGCCCAGAGTGGTTTAAGCACGGAATAGAATAGAATAGAACCTATGGACCTCAAGGCATTGCTGAACAGCTAGTACCATCATCCCAAACCTAGATATGCAGGAGGATGACCTGAGGTTATTTAAACTGTAGGACAAAGGCATCTGATAGGTCAAAGACACCCATTTCTGAAGGAGGACCTGATACCCTGGAAAGGCAAATGCGTACTTTTGTCGCGAAAGAGAAGGTCTCCTTCCGCTGGCCACAGAGGCTCACCTACCAGGCATGCAGGAATGGGTTTTCTCTAGCCTTATTCCCAAACTGTGGAATGCACTCCTGGGCAGAGTTCAGACCCGCTCCCCCCTCCCCCAAATATGCCTTTTAGGATACAATAAGACACTTCTCCTTAACCTTGTCTTCTAAACTATATTCATATATTATCAATGTAATGTTTTCACAGTAATAATTTCTTTATTGGCTTTACTATAAAACTACTACAAGTTATTGAAAAGAAGGATATGCAGTATCTTTGTTATAAAATAAAACATTTCCATGCTTTCCACAGATATTACATTTTCTTCTCCATTTTTTATCCCTGTTTCTTGCTTTAGGGAAGTGTGTGTGTGTTGTTATCTTTAACTTTTTAGAGGCCAGTTGTTAACACTTAGTAATTTGTCACCTGAATTTCTATGTCTAAGTGTTACAAGCTGGGATCTGCCCAGCCGGCACAGGGTAAATCAGGAAAGGTTTCTTCCAAGATTCCTGGCATGCCTTTTCTCGTGCCAGATCTGTCCAGGAGTGAATAGAAGGTATGTGTACGATGTTTCCTTTGTATATAGACCAAGGCAATTCCAAGGTTGTTTTTTTTAAAAAAGTCCAACACAATCTTTTACACATGCACTCCCCTTCCAGATTCCTTTTAAGCTGCAGTCCTAAAATCTGGCAACATTTTTCAATCTGCCTGGAAAATATTTCTGAGAAAGACAATGTCTGACCAAAGCTTTTTTCATTAACTTTTATCTGTAGCACAGCATTTTCTCCCCCTCAGCCAGAAAAACAAGGAGACCACTCACTCCTCAACCGGCTTAAAACAAGAGGTATTTGCTATACAGTGTCTTTGATAGGAAGCAACTTAAACCTTGCAGAATAGTAAAGCAAATTCTCCAATTCCCCCAGAACTCTTATTGAGAAAGGTGGGTGTTAAGGAAACCCAAAACCAAAAGGTACTGGAAGAACAGAGGAGACAGAAAATATAAAAGAACCACAATAGCAACCCAACAGTGTTTTGTTTGTAGCTATTTTAATAACATGGGCTGCAAGACTTCTCACCAAAACTTGACTGGATCAGGTATTGTTGGTTGGAAAACTGGATTTTTGTGTTGCACCGATGTCTGCTGGAGCAAACTGCTTTCAATTTGAACACTGTATGTATGAAGATTTGCAGGCACCTTTTAGTCTGAAAATGTGGCAGAAAAAGTACAAGAGGTGGCAGTGTTCCACCAAAAGTTACATGAGAACTAGAGGAACAACAGGGCAAAAAGCAGGCGGAAGACTACCCCAGTGAACTTGTAACAAGTTCGGAAACCAGCTGTGGTTCATGCAGCAGGGAAAACACAATCAAAGTAATGTGTTAGATAATTGCATAAAGGTGAAATGGGAACTTCCAGAAAATGTACATGCTTTGTGCTAGGAGGATGACATCTCTCTCTCTCTCTCATACACACACACACACACACACTATAAAACAGTGGTTCCCAACCTTTTTTTCAACCAGGAACCACTTGACCAGGGACTACTCTCCATCATTAGTACCAAAAGGGTTAAGAATCAGTTTTTGGTCATATTTTAATTCCTGCAGACCACTGGTGGTCCACGGACCACAGTTTGGGAACCACTGCTTTAAAATTTCAAATATTTACTTCTTTAGGCAAAGAGTCTGATCCTAAGCAACTCTCACTGAGATACACAACTAAAATCAGTATCATTACTTTCAATATAACTTTGATTTGCAATGGCATTTTCTGTATTTCTGTAATCCCTCTTGAATTCCAGCCTGGGAGAAATATAGGATATAAATAAAGGGATGAATGGAAGAAATCCCACAGGAATTATCTGAGACAGTGGTTCCCAGCCTTTTTTGACCAGAGCACACTTTGACCAGGGCCCACTTTGACCAGGGACAACATTAGTACCAAAAGTTGCGAGGCTGGTTAGCTCTGCAGAAAGGAGCAGAAATAAAATAAATTAATTAAGAGGAAGGGGATTCGCAGACCAGATTTTCATTCTCATGGCTCATTGCTGGGCCACAGCCCACAGGTTGAGAACCGCTGATCTAAGAGCAACCTAGACACACTGAATTAAATAGTATATATTTAGATATTCAAATAGGCATGCATAGTATTGCACTTAACTAACAATTCAACTTGATCAAAGCCACCATCTTTCCTTCCAAAACCTTTAAAATATACTTTCATTGATTTCATGTTGTAACATCATTCTTGATATCTCGGTGCAACAACAATGCAGAAAATGATTGTTCAGTTAAGTTACAGTGTTATGATACCAAAATAACAGTTTTTCCTTTAACAAACAGCCAAAAAAAATACTTGAATGACTTCAGAAGACTAACAACCCACCCCCCAATTCAGTTTTTAAACAAAATTGTTCCAAGTCAAAGTAAGGCCATTTGTTATTTTTTTCAATCAGAACTCATTGTCATACCTTATTATAACTAAGTTGCCACAGATAACACAGTTAACTCTTTCTAGAATTGAGTGAAGACTAATCTGACAGCTGAGATGTCTTTGCATTGTTTCCTTGTAAAAACTCCTAGGAGGACCAGTTTTGAAATCTTTATAAAGTGTTGCAATTTTTTTCAGGAAAGACTGCA